TTGCTTTCAGTGCTTAAATTTAGATGTAAGTACAGTTGTTCTTTTAACATTGTTATGGGCAACATGTAACTTGAAAATACCCATTGGAATATGAACCTTTAAGAGCTGTGCAGATGTTGGGCAGATGAGGGCAGGAGGAAGAAATCTTCCTGCTGCTGCGTGGTAAGTTTCCAGAGTGCAACTGTACTTACTGAATGCACTTTTGGTTGATGATATGTGGAGCTGTAGGTTCTCTTTAAGTGCTGTCTTCCAGTTAATACAAATACTTTGGATGTTTTTAAATGGGTATGCCTTTCTGGGGTTACATCAGCTTAGACTTGTAACCGAAACCTGCTCTGAGAGGGTGTCCTGAAGTTGTGGGAAACTGCTCACTTTATTTAGCATTTGTAGATGCAGTACTGAATACACTTCTTTTTCTGGGGCAGGAACTTGAAGATCTTTTGCCAGCTAGACCAGAATTTCCCAATGTAATTGGTGATGCAGAAGAGGTAGATCTTCAGGAATTTGATACCACTCGTGGTTCAGGTGGTGGCCAGAGACGTGAAGCTTATAACGATAGTTCTGATGAAGAAAGCAGCCATCATGGACCTGGGGTACAGTGTGCCCATCAGTAAACGTTTGTCTAAAAAGTTGCACAAGGATTTTCTTTCAAATTTTGCCTGACTTGTTTTCAACAATCCAGCTGGATTGTATAAGTAATCCAGATGAACCAATGGACATCTATTGCTGTATGTGTAACTTTTAAATTGGTCTATAGTATCTACAGAGTGTAATTTAAACTAACCACAAGCTTACATCTTCATTTTGACTGTGTAGCAGAATAAAGCACTTGAAAGGAAGACGAGACTCCTTTTCACATGGGTTTTAAGTTTGTCCTCGTATCTGTGCTTGATTTTTACCAGTTTTGTGTAGATTTTAAGTTTCATATTTTAAATTCAAATTCTACATTGTAAAGTTTGTGTACAATTTGTCCTGAGGCTTGGTATTTGGCTGCACCTGCATAAGCTGCTACAAGTAGAATAAAGAATTTCATAGCCTGTATCTATCATCTAGATGCATGGTAAATGGGCTTTGCACATAATGGGTTTAGAGCTGACTGGGAACAATGGAAGACTAAATTAGAAGTGGTTGTAAGTTTTTTCTACCATCTTGTGAACGGTTTCTGAAATTAAATAAAAGCAGTTGGTGTATAATACATTTCTTTTGCCTTGTAACTCTTACTTTTCCAGTGGCTTTACCTATTCTGTGTACAGAGACTGTGTAGATGGTAGACTTTTAAAAACACAGGGAGGCTGAAGCTGCTTTAAGACTAGGTTGCAGTTGGATAACTTTTGTGTGCCACATATAAAAGTCTTTTCTTGAAATGAGATATGACTAAATGGGCACGGGGAAGGCTGCAGCCATGTCCCCTTTGTATGAAGAAAACACAAGGCTATCTGAGTTCAATCAGAAGGTAACAAAACCTTTTAAATGAAGACGATTAAATCCCAAAATAATGGTGCCTTTCTCTTAGCCTTTGAATGCAATCCAAAGCCTGATTCAGCCTGACTTCCCAGTGAAATGTTTCCAGTTTTTAGAAAAATCTTTGTAAAAATGAACATGATGCCTGGCAAGTTGTGGTTGCTTTAACAGAGTTTGTAAAGAAATTAAGATTAGTCTTGTACTTGACAAAAACTTTTGACCTGGAAACATACGAAATGTAGATGGTTTTGTTGCTTTTCCAGTAGTTTGCATTTTCTGTTTTAACTAGTAAGACCTTAAGCTTTCCAGCTTCAGTTCTGTTCCCTTTTCTATGCTTTTAATTAGTAAAAATACCACAACAAAGCAAAAATGTGACCTTAATTAATTATCAGGTGCAGTTAGTTATCTAAGCATTTTGTTATGCTGTTATGGAACTGTGCATGACCTTTGGTTGGTACATGGCTTCTGTATAGTGAGGTTTCTCTCTCTGTTGAAGCGAGGAAGTTGAAAGATGCCTCCACTTTTCTTTATAAATCTGAAGTGTGACTTGTTTAATTATTGCTCAGATAGTTGTTGACACTTTACCACTGAGGTTGGAGGGACAAACTCTAAGGGTTTCCATGTGCGGGGGTAGGCATTGGCATTTGAGTGTTGCTGAACAGCCTTGTTATATATAGACTCTAAAACTGAAGCAAGAATAAACACTGTTTGACCTGTATTTCAGTATTGACTTCTTGCACTGTGGCATTCTCATCTAGTGAATCTTTATTTTCATTCATTAAAACTTCAGGTTGCTTTTTGTGAAGCTGTGGTTACATCCTGATCCTTTCTCCTCATTAATTTCTCCAAGAAGTCAGTCATCTTAACCTGTAATGCTTAAATAATTACAACGCCCATCTTCTGCTTTCAGGTAGTAGCTTTAGGATATACCTCCTTGGAAAACAAGAGTATGTGCTCTAAACTTTATCTCCTTACTTTCAAGTTGGGTTTTTTTGGGGGGGGGGGGGGGGGGATAGAGGGAAGGGATTCGTGGTGACTTTTCAGCTAGCATGCTGACGTGGAAGGGAAGTTGATCACTGTATGTAGTGCAAGTTAGTCTAGTTCTGTTTCAGGCCTGAGATTGGATTAATTTAGGCTCCTGTCAGCAGCATCTTTCAACAAGGAATGACTTCTTAACAGTTGCCCTTATTATATGTATCTCCTACTTTACAAAGTTGTAGTGTAGAAAAACTTCCCATAGATTCACTGTCTTGGTTTCAATATTTAAGTTGCAAGTAATACACTACTACAGTTACTAATGCTTTAGTAGTTTAACGATGAAGTTTAATGCTTAACATAGCTATTAATGCTTCAACACAGCCAATGTGACTGCCCTATGAATAATCAAATAAACATTAGTTGAATGTTCTCAATAAAAAACAGCTGCAACTTAAGTACTTCTATTAGAGGTGGTACTACAAACAAATGAGTATTCTGTATGTTGAGAGAGGAAGAAAATGTGACCGCCAGAACCATATTAGAACCATTTTCTTAGTTGACACTTTTTTTTTTTATATCTTTAGTATTGGCCTAAAGAAGCTGAAAGGAAAAAACCCAGGCAATCTGGTTTAGCTTACTTTGTAACACATCTATTTCTGCACATACAGTGACTAAAATTAACCTAAAGTTGACTCTCAAGAAAAGTCTCTCCTGTCCTCCTGAGCGTGTTTAACTTACCAAGGTGTTCACAGTGAATCTTTATGAATAAGATACTAACAGTGGTGTGGTTCTTGTTCACATAAAAGATGAGGCTGTGTTCTTTTGAAAAAGGTTTGCAAAGAAGTTAAGAGTGATCAGTGAAGATTACTGCTGTTTGGAAAAAACAAAACAAACCAAAACCATGTCAGACTTACCTGTTAATATGCTGCTATTTCTTAGCCCTCTAAATAGGACATAATAGGAAAATTGTATTTCAATTATTATCCTGTCACATTCCACAGTAGCCTTAGGCTGATGCAACTATGAATTTCAAACAATTACTGCAAAGGAGGTGTGGGGTATTTAATTGTATGCCTCTGTTACCACAATTAAGAGGAACACTGTAGATATAAATGGAGTTCCGGAGGCTTCCTAGCTTGGTGACAATTTGTAAGAATGACTTCAGGTGATTGAAGAGTCCTTGTCCTTCATTACAGCATACATCCTGTGCCTTTGCACTTTGTGTGTCAGGGCCCAGAAACACTTTTCCAGTTCCTCATAGTAGCCCTTTAGTCCCAAGAAAAGAGCCTAATCTCTAAATTGCAACTCAGAAAATACTTTAATAATAGCAGTCTGGATTAAACACTAGCAGCTATTTTTGTAACATGACTCCCACCATACCCAAACCCCACCTGAGATCCACAACAGATATGTGTTGGCCTATCTTGCCAAGAATGCCTAATACCATACCACTTCCGAAAATTGAAAGAACTGCAGGTTTCAGTACTGCATTTCAATTTTGTTTACCTTAGTGTAGCATGGGAAGACACAGTTAAGTAATTTATGTTGAAATGTCCATTTGCCTGCAACAATCAAAAGCTGATACTCCTTTGATGTGATGCTTTTACCAATATAAGGGAAAATAGATGTTAATTCAGGTTAAACTACTGAGTTACAGAACTAACTATTCATGAGTGTTCTGTAAACTTCATGTATAATCTGAATGAGAGGTTTATTCCTGTACTTCCTGGTTACCAAATGAGAGCATAGTCTTAATCCAGGTTTGATAGTGTTTCAACTTCCTGGTTTTTTACTAGTTTTGTCTCCCATGCCTTGGAAAGCTTTCTTTTTTTCCTTATTTGAAACATGACTGCTGGACTGGCAGATGTTAAATGGACTGGAAAGATGTTAAAAGCCTTTCATACAAAAGTACCTAAGCGCTAGAAAATTTGGGTTGATGCCACAAGTTACAGTAAGTCTGTAAGTAAGCACTTGTCACCTTGCATATTACTGTCATGTCACAGCACAAGACTGGAAATAAATTTTATTCCATATATGCCACCACAGAACTAAAGTTACATACCTTAAAATGCTATTCAGGAATTTAACTTGCACTTCAGCTTAATTCCAGAGTTAAATTCAAGGAGACTGACACTGGGAAGACTAAACATGAGTAGTAAACCAACACTACATTCTGCTTGTGGCATGCATGGAAGAATGGCATTGAAAAGCTCTATACTTATGAATAGTTACATAAAAAAAACCAAACCCAGAGAGTCTTATTTAGAGTATCAGTTAAAACTTATTTCCCCACATACAATCCATTACTGTTCATTTTACTGTAAACTGAGTTCAGATGTTAACTAAGCCTTTCATAAAGAGTTGGAAAAATAAAATTATTTCCTTCTGCTTTTGTATCCTTCATAGAGATAACAGGAATTAATACACATCACAGTGTAAGCTTTTATATAAAAACATTTACTGGGTAGTATACAGCTTTATTAAGACATTATAGACATTCTCTAAACACTTCAGAGGCAGCAAGAGCTATCATGAATATCTGTAGCCAGAAGACAGTTCCATTAACTCGGTTTAGCTGTTGCCTTTCCACATAGTACAGTCAGCTCACTCTAAGGGGGGAAAGAAATTCGTTTTAGTTCAGGCTACCCAACAGAACTTGGAAGAAAAGAGAGAAAACTCACTGTTGCTAAAGCAAACCATGAGCAAGCACTCCCCCGTTCGCCACCTACAGAGGCAAGTCCCTGTTATAAAATGCAAAACAGCTTCCAGACCTTTAGCTTAACTCATATAGCTGCATTCAAGTCTAAATACCTGCAAGACTACACTCTTAATGTTTCTTATGTCTAGATAGATTCCTAGTGCTGCACATTACTTCATCCAAAAGCCCAGGTACTCTCATTTTCAGAAGTCGGGCACACTAACGAAGTCCTGTTCAACTTCATTCTGCTTCAAAACAATTTACTTCCCTGAACCCAGGGTAAGGCAGTTACTATTCAACTGCAGCAAAGAATTCATAGGAGTATAGTTCTTACCCAGCCAGGGACAAAGAATAATAGAGAGATTACAACAAGAATCAAACTTAGCTGTAGCTTTGTAGGCCTTTGTGACTGAGACAGAGAATAGCAGTTTGCTCACGTGGTAGGAGAGACACCAGAGCAATCTAGAAGGAAGAGTTTATGCTTCTGTTGTCCCCCAGGCAATCACCAAACTGCATGTGCTTATTTAAGTGCATTTACTTTCACACATTATCTGCATCCAGCAGTTCTCCCTTGCGCTACTCCTCCCTCCAATTTATGCCAACTAATTTAGGCTTAACCTAAGAAGAGTTAAGGCACTTAAAATTTGCATTCATGAGAGTATTTCACATGAAAACCTGAGACTGGGTGTCTGAATATTTGTATTTAAGCGTACTAGTTTAAGCTTACCACTAAGTTATGAATATGCTGTACTGTATCTTGATTTAGTAGTTGCACATCAATGTTATGGAGGTCTCCACCAGCCGTACAGAGTGTCTAAACGTGAAGAGAAACAGTTTTAAGATAAAGACTATTCTGGAAGTTTTCACTTGTATGGCCAGCTTTTCTAAAAATCACGTGCTTCCCTGCTACAGTGCAAGATTTTAGTAACCATTTTTCCTTTTAGTTTAGCAGCAACTCATTTAGGGGATAGCAAGAGCTAGCACTATCAGACTTCACAGTTTATCAACTACTGTAAGATGAAAATGTTTTTTGTTTTTTAAAAAAAAGTTTGATACCTGTCCATCAGCCAAGGGAATGTTTACAAATGGAACAGTTTTATCTTGGGGAACCGATTTACTTCTTAGTAACATGCCTTGAACTCTTCCACGGGTCGGTACAGTTCTTGAGACAGTCTGTTGTAGTCCAGCACTAGAATACCATGAAAACGTTACTCTGAGGTTAACTTCCTATGCTCTGCAGGAAATTATGAAGCATGAGGCAAATGCAAGCAGTAGCAAACATTCCTAATAGAAAGGCAGTCATGTTTAAACTTTTCCAGTTCTGCCAGAAGACTACAGGAAACCCAAGCAGCAGCATTCACTAGCACCACTAGGTGACATTTTATGACCCTGAAACACTGCAGGAGCCTTCTAAGCCGGTGTTGCAGGCCAGTGAGCAAGCTGGCATTTGGAGTACTCGGTAACGAGAATATCCACTCTCCGGTATCAACAGTGAATGCATATAGTTTTGGAAAGAGGAAACTTCATGCCGCAGAGCTTAAGATGTGAGCTGTATCTGTCTGCTACAGAGGGAGATATCAAGAAATACTGAAGCTGGTGGCTCTCAGAGGTACAGGGCATGCCGTATGTCATACAAAATTCCTAAGCTTCTTTCATGACACAGGTGTTCTCATCCCACTTCAATGTAAGACTGGGGTACCTTCTGCATGGAAATAGGAGTCTAAACTTTGTAGCAGGCCATGGTGAAACTAAGCCACTTGCTGGTTTCACGACCCATTTAAGTTATTAGGTTTTTCACCCCCTCACTTCACATGACAACTTCTGCCAAAACCAAACTCTAGTGTATGCAGAATGATAATAACTGAAAACAAAAACTGTTCAATATGCAAAAAACTGATTGTCAATTTATTTGTTTGGGGGTTTTGTTGAGGTCTTTTTGTGTTGTTTTTGGAGGGGGGTTTGTTGGGGCTTTTTGGGGTTTTTTTTTGTGTTTTTTTTTTTTTTTTTTCTTTCTTTAAAAATACAGCAGTATTAGTGACATTTTAAATCAAGTTTGGGCTCTGAAAATTACTTTAAGCTGTAAACTATACCTTTAAACAACAGTGGATGGGAGTAGAATTTATACTTTAAATCGGTTTGTTTGGGTTTTTTTGTTTTGGTTTTTCTTTTCCCCAAACTGGCTTAGTTAGGACATCAAATCCTGTACCTCAATGAGAACATAACACACACAAAGCAGGAGGTGCAACTGATTCACATCCCCCCCACCAAACTGAGTGGCAGATCATGAAGATTATTAAATCTAGTTTGATGATGATTGATTAATATCTAGATTGCTATTAATGTAGATATATAGTCTCTTGGTATTTAACAAAATTATTTATTAACAAGCCAAAAACCCCTTACCTTTTAGACAGCTTTGGCATGGCTTTGAAATTTGTGCCACCGCAATCAGAAGCAAGAGACTTAGCAGCCTCAGTCACACTTGTAGAAGAGTGACCAGATCTAAAAAAAACAAACAAAAAAAGTGGTTGTTGGTCATTGGGTTTTGTTTGGGTTTTTTTTATTTTTATTTCCTCTTCATCTGCTGTACAGCTTTAGCTAGGATGAAGTTAGACAGCTGGTGAATTAGAGAATGTTGGAGCGCTCCACGACAGAGATCTAGTGCATATATATATCTGTGAAGAAGCCCTCCTGAGGTAAACAGGATATAATGGGACCTAACACCATAGGGAAACAAAATGATAATTTATGTTAGTAGATAGACAGCTGCAGTACCCGAGTTGGGTATAATTAAGGGAGCATCCACAGCTTTCGAGTGTGCAAAAATTTCTTGGGAAGTTTCTTACTCAGCAGGACTTCCTTCTAGATTATTTCTCAGAGTATTTGTCCTGTGTGGTTGACCTGAATCCAGTGAACAATTTTTTTTTTTCCAGTTTTGGATTTTAACTCAGTTTGCAGAAGTCTCGATGACAGAAGTTTACCTCACTCTTGCCTCGTCTCCCTTTCCCCACACACATTTTGGAGATACTCTAAGGGCATGCATTTTTGGCCCAGTGTTAGTGTACTTGAATAAAAGCAACCTTCAAAGACTTAGAAATTAAACTTCCCCAGGCACAGCAGCCTTCTCTAGTTTTTGTTGAGCCAGAAATTCTATAACCCCAATTCAAGAAGTAATTAAACCTGGCTAAGGTTTTTTTTTAAAATTTCTTTTAGACACATTAAACACTGATACATTATTTAAATTGCATTTCTCCAAAGGTAATTTGAATGCACCAAACTAAGTGCCAGTGGGTACAAGTATGCACACTGGAGCTGTACGGGTAGCAGGAGCTTCTCAGAGAAGTTTTCATGCAGATATCCACCACCTTTTTAATTCATTAAATCTTACAGTGAGACTTGAATTTCATGACTGTAAGTAGCTTTGAGGTGTTTTTTAAGTGTGTATTTTCCAGCTAATGACGCCTCCTTTTCAGCTATATCAGAGGGCAAAATTACTACGAAACAATTCATTAGTCCTAACAGAGCAACAAAGATGTTTCCCTTACACACTCTCTTCCATTAAGTATTGTTTGGAAATCTATACTGATTTCATACATTCAGAACTGTGCACCATCCAGTGAGTGAGAGATACAGCCACATCCCTTCATCAGCTAGAGGTGCTTTTTTGTCCAGGTTCACATCACTACAATGCATCTGACTCAGGTTATGGAAGACATCTTTATCAGATGTATTCCTATTGGCCTCAAGTCTCAGCTGCTCTATCTGAAGAGTTTTATTCAGCATTCACAAGTTCAGGTGAGTTAAATAAGCTATCAAAGGTCAGTCTTACCTAGAAAGAGGCTTCAGTTTGCTATTTAAACCAGAGGCCAATGAAACCAAAGATTTTGTTCTGGAAACCTGAAAGTGCATATGTAAGACTGCAGTTAAAAGAAGTGGCATTTTAAGGCCAAATAATAGGTATTTTCCAGGGAACAATACTGTAAGAATTCCCTGTTGAACAGTTAAGCCCCATAGTGCTGCCGTTTAAATAGTTCTACAAATACATAAAATGGCAAATATGCCTTCCAAAACAAGAGTTTCGTAATGCCAAAACACGTTTGCTCATACTGAAGTTCTGTACAAACAACCACCTTTCTAATATACACCCTTCCAACTTGTAAGTCCTCTTATAATTAATGCCTGTAACTGCTTATAATCTTTTTGTCTTTGTTGTCATCTTGCTACATACTTCAGTGTCTGGCTGAGGCACTGCATTGCACAGACGGACTGAGATGGTAAAATTAATACACCTGTGCTATTGGGTTTAGAAATCAAGATGGACAAGAATGCACAAGTCATTCAATTTACTATTAATTTACTATACAGTTTAGCCTTGCTTAACTTAAAATACATTGAATTTAAAACAACTGATTTTTCAAAAAACTCCTGCCCCGTCATGGATCTAGCAGGGTTCCCAGCAGGTCATGAACTGATTAAACCCTTATGTTGTTTGTTCAAAATAAACTTACTTTTTTAGATATTTTTGTTCCAGAAATATGCTTGGCATCTTCATATTCAACAATTGTAGTTACCTTAACTAGAAATACATTAGAAAGACAATGAAAATAAAGATCTCATGAAGAGCACAATACACCACTTCAAACGCATTTGAGGCCTATTTACCCACTGACAGCTATGCGTCAGTTCTGCTATTCGATGGTCATTCGCCTGGGATGGAGTTCAAAGCAAACTATGTGTGTTTGTCAGAGACACTGTGACACGCAGGACAGTTAAAAAACACTAGATAACCCTTCAACCCCCTGGCAAAACAGAATTACATTTCAGTGGCAGTGTCCTTCTTATTGTATACTTTGGAGTATGAAGAGAAATGTTATTCTCCTTACAAACTTCGATGGGCAGGACATCAAAGGGGAACCAATGAGAAAATAGGGGTGACTTTCCTAGCACTTCTGCTATACTGTAAAGCACTGACAAGTCACTTAAATCTATCTCTTCTAACTATTTTCAGGGATAAATCCAGAGGGCAGGAACTCTTATCTCATGTTTTAAAGTACCTGAACAGTAGCATAGTTCATGATCCTCCACACTGAATGCTGAGGGGACCTGTATGTTATACTTCTAGTTGCACACTTTTCCCTCTTGTATCCTTCAGGCTTAACATTCACTTTACAAATGCTCAGTTCAACCAATAAAAAAAAATAAATTAAGAAACAAGCTATATATTAATGTATTGGCTTGCCTTTTTTGCTGTTGGTCCTCACCAGTTTTGGATTTGGTACATTTGGTACATCTTCTAGAGAACAGTCAGTCTAAAAACATATTTATCCAACAAGGGAAAGTCAACAGATTTTGCCCAGTAGATGTGTAGTGTATCATCCTACAAAAGGCAGTGAACTAAAAGGGCATAAAAGAAAGTGACAGAAGTGGGATTGGATAAACACCAGTTTATGTTTTCAGAAACATCTGGATTTCTGCCTGTAGCTGACCCTACAGCTTTAGGTAATGTTCATAGCTGCCCCATGGCTGGCTGTCTAGCCTTTTCACATCATCTTCTATTTAAACAGACAGCCAAACAAAATCATTTGTCTGAGGTGCTTACAGCAGGGGGAGAAGAATTCTATTCCGTAAGCTGTGATAAAATTTGGAGACACAAACTTACCACTGCAGCAGCAAGAGCCACTTCCTCCCCGCCTCGCAAATCTGTAACTCAAGAAAGTATAACTTGTTTACATACTATTACATACTGTGATTACTTGCATAATTATTATCTGCTGGTTCTTATCTTATGGGCTATGAACCTGAACACGTAATCCAGAATTACAGGTGCTTAAATAGTTAAGCTTAATTAGCATATATGTTGCATTTGAACAAGATTCAAGTCTTGTAGGATACAAAACAAGAGTGAAAATCTTAGGCCATTTCAGTATGTTTAATCCTTGAAAGGTTATTAAGCGTAGTCACACAGTATATAACCTGAAATCAAAAAAAGAAAAACTCCATGCATTGTGCTCCTGAAAGCTATGCTTTTAGGCAGAAGTTTTCAAGAAAGATCTTGAAACACATACTCAGCAAAGGCTTACAGTAAACTCAAGTTCTTCAAGAGTCTTCGGTTTGATCTTTGTGCAGCAATTTCCAGCTGCAAGGTAGATTCCAAAAACATCAGTTCTCACCAGAATATATACCTCATGCTGACCGTACACCACAACTTAAATTGCTGCATAAACTTGAAGTTAAAATTGAACTTGTTCGCTCATCATCACAGGTAAATGACTAGATCAGAAAGCCTCAGTAGTAGAAGACTTCAAATTAACAGAAAGACAAAATAATCTCTGTGGCTAGGATGAACAGATTCTGATGGAAAGAAGTACTGAAGTTCTTACACAGAAAATACTAGACTTATAATTATTCCTTGTCTCTTCAAGCTTTAAATAAGGTGACTTAAGAGCACACATAAAAGAAGGTTCCAGACTGTTACCTATTAATTCTATACCTTGTGTAACACAGGCCAGTCTACTTGAACAAGAGCCCTTACTGAGCACCTGCAGTCTAATACCACTGATTAGCTTCAAATACTCAGCAGAGTAAACTTTTTCATAAAAAGTCACCAGGTTTAGTTTACAGGTTTTCTCACATTAGTCAGGCGTGTATCATGCTGTAACGATGTCTGCATCCCTCGCAAATATGAGGCCCGGCACACTTACTAAGCAAGTCTTTTCTTTTCATTTTCCTGATGGCAAGTGGCATCTTCAGCAACTCCACCGTAAACGCCTTCTCAGCTGTTTGCAAAAGCGAATCGAGCTCTTTCTTCATCTCCTGGATATTTTCCTTGGCTTTAAAACAAAACAGGCTTTGGTCGCCGTGTGTGCTACTGGTTCCCAAGTCGCCATCAGACACCCACCCCTTCGCCCGACGAGAAACCGGACGCAGGCACACACCTACACGGGCTGCGCCCCAGACCCGCGGCC